AATAATTTTTAAAATTTCAGTAAGATCACTTCTCACCCTTTGCTCAAGAAAAAATAAGTGATCGTAACATATCATATAACATAACGTATCATGTATGAACTTTTGCAATAAGATACATAGTCTGAGTCATCATTTGCTATATATCTCGTTGTGTTTTATCAAAAAGTAAATATTTCAACTCAGGCTTTTATCCAATTTTGATAGTTATTTCTTGCGAGTATTTAAATTAAGACGAAAATACGAAGGCCTAAGCAGTGATCTTTAAAGCACTTCACTAGAACAAGGGCCCAGTTTTATTCAATAGCTGTTTTTTTAAAGGAGGTTTTCAAATTGTATACAATATTTACCTCTACATGAATAACACTAAATATCCTGTAATTTACAGAAAAGAATAATATATGTTCCTAACTTACAAAATGATTGTCATAGATTAAGATTGGAATTTAGAATTACTTTGCACAAGTTGCTTAACAGTATCAACAACTCTTTTTTGTATAGAAATAAACTTTATGAATTAAACTATATTGGTTTTGACTTTTCTAGTCCTTAGTATAATTCAATAAATGATTGATGCAAATTTAAAGAACAAGAATTATTTTTAGTTTTTGTGCATGCTAAACAGCTAAAAGTTTATGCTTGATATTTACGCTGCGATATATATTATATATTATTGATGAGACAGTAAGTAAAGATTGAGAGGCAAAATTTCATGTTCTTACAGTAACAGTGAAATATTGATACGATGTTGGAAACCCTGAAACTCATCAATTTGATAGTCTTAAACACAAAAGCTATTGACTGGTCAAATGAATATTATTTATCACTAGGACTCCAATTAATTACACACTGGATAGTTTAGTAAAAAATATAAGTGTGTAAGTAGTATCATATAAGTGGGCGAAATATTAGAACCTTTAAACAGTGGTGAAAATTATCTATAACAAATTATAAGTTTAAAATGCGCAGGAAGAAAACAAAATAACGAGAGATGGTCTTCTAGTGGCTTAACTCTATACCTTTATATATAGTCTCCGGATTTACAACGCTAAAAGCAGGGGCTAGATTCCCCTCGGTAGACACAGCAGATAGCCCGATGTGGCTTTGCTATAAGAAAAACACTCACACTTTATATATACTAGAAGAAACGCCACCGTAAGGGCGGCTATTTGTGCTAGTTATTACTAATTGTAGTATTCATACCTCATTCAAAAAAATAAATAAATAGGAAAAGTGAACATTTTCTAAAAAAAAAAAAGAATTTTTTTCTGGCAAGTTCAGCACGGGTAAAGTGTTCAGATTGTGACCTTTCGATATATGCAACTCATTGCATCAAAACGATTCAATGCATAGAGCTCAAAATTTTCATTAACTTTACTGATATAAACTGTAATGTTTTTATATATTAAAAGCGGTACCGTTTATTGAAAAAATAATAGTTTTTAAGAACTCCAGTTTCTCAATACTACATTTAAAAATTACATCAATAAAGATATGATCAAACTCTCACGTACAGTCCTAGTGAAAGTGATGTTCTTCTTGTGAGGAAAGTACTTTCATTTAAAATTGTGTTCTATTATAAAGAAATGGCTGTTACACATACCACATTTAGTTTTCTAAATGTCTGAATCTTGAATACCTAAACTGTGAAATATTTTGTGAATTTTGTTTGTGGTGCCATCCAATAGATGGCGAAGGTGTTTTGGTTACATACGTAGGTAATGACATACATGCTTCATCCACTATATTAGGTCGTCGAGAAATTAATGTCGCATTTTGGAACACTTTCATTAACTACCCCTAAAAAATGTACATCATGTATAATAGTTAAACGAACCGTCTAAACGTCATGTTAGTGTAGCCTATATAATGTGTAAAGTTTAGTATACTATAATCCCTTATAGTGATGGCGCACGACGAGATACACATTTGACATGTAATGCTGTTTGAAAAAAAAAACAAGAAGGGAAACAACGCCTGTGTAGTAATATCAAAGAAGTTTATGGAATTGTATTGAACGTTCGTAAGTGTCAACGGTGGTTCAGCAAATTTCGTTCAAGTGAATTTAGCCTTAAAAACTGTGATGGCAGAGGCTGACATATTGGAATTGATATTGATGCACTGAAGAGCTTGTTAAGTCTAGCCCAAGGCAACACACTCGTGAAATGGCCCTAAAATTGCTTGTCTCTCATGAAACAATACGTAAACATCTAAGGAATATGGGAAAACTTCATAAAGAAGGTGTTTGGGTGCCTCATGAACTCTCCGATGGTCAACGTTGCTTCGTCTTTTCTGGCGCTTAATGCTTGTGAACCATTTTTGGACAGAATTGCTATACAAATGATTCTCTATGTGGATATTAAACGCCAAAAACAATGGCTCAGAAAAAAACACTTCCGATCCCAAAACCTAGACTCCATCCGAAGAAAGTGATGCTTTGCATTTGATGGGATACCAAAGGAGTAATCCATTTCAAACTCATCAATCCACAGCGAACTGTC